GGTGGGGTAGCTGAGGGCTCTTTAGGGGCTGGAATTGCTGGGGCCCCCTTGGGTGGTGGGGTAGCTGAGGGCTCTTTAGAGGCTGGAGTGGCTGAGGCCCCTTTGTGAGGTGGAGTAGCTGGGGAGTCTCTGGGGGATGGGGTTGCTGGGGCTCCTCTGGGAGAGGAAGGAGTTGCAGCCGAGGAAGTGGAGGCCTCTTTTGGGGGTGGGGTAGCTGGGGACTCTTTGCGGGAGGAAGTAGTCATAGTTGGGGAAGTAGGGGTCTCTCTGAGAGATGGAATTGCTGAGGCCCCTTTGGGGGAGGAAGGAATCACAGCTGAGGGAGTAGGGGCCTCTCTGGGAGGTGGGGTAGCTGGGCCCCCTTGGGGTGAGGGAGGCGGCACAGCTGGGTAAGTGGAGGGTCCTTTGGGGGATGGGGTGGCTGGGGCTCTTTTGGGAGTTGGAGTTGCTGGGGACTCTTTAGGGGAGGGAGGAGCCACAGCTGGGGCAGTGGGGGGCCCTCTGGGAGGTGGGGCAGCTGGAGACTCTTTGGAGGATGGAGTTGCTGGGGCTCCTTTGGGGGAGGGAGGAGCTAGGGGAGCGGAGGTCTCTGTAGGGGAGGAGGTTGCTGGCCTCACTTTGGGGGAAGGAGGAGTAGGGGAATGCTTCTTGGCTAGTGATTCTTTAGGTACTTGAAAACAAAGACTCGCCTCTGGAAGAAAGGAATCTTCAGTTGGAGAAACAGAGGATGAGAAATTTCCAGCAGGAGTATCAGGGATAGTAGGTACACTTTCAGAAACAGAAGGAGCAAGAGTTAAGGGAGTAGTAGAAGTAGCTGAACCCTTCTTGGTTGGAGGTCTTTTAGTCTGAGGAGACACACTAGTCCCTAAAAGAGGTGGGGAGTCAGCTAAGGAAGTTCCTTTGGAAGATGCAGTAACAGAAGCACCAGAGTCCTCAGTTGGGCACCCTTCAGGAGAGGAAGCCACAGGTGCCAATGCTGAGGTATAAGAGATACCATGAACTTTCTCTGCACCTTGACGAGGAGTACCAGCCGGGGGAAGAGATGGACAAGGCTCAGACTTGGGAATTTCAGGCGCCAGTGACATGGTAGCTGGAGAACCAGAATCATTCTGGAGGGATAAAGTCATAGCTGGAGCCACAAGGCAATTGTCAGAGGCTGGAGGAACCAAAGGTAAAGCAGTAAGAGGGGAAGTACTCTTCTCGGCTGGGTGGGTTTTAGGAGCTAAAGAGACAGCTCCTTCTAGAAAAGGGCTGTCTGTAGTTGTAGGAGTGGAGGTACCTTTGGCAGTTGTAGGAGCCACCCCAGCGGTGGAAGCACTTTCCAAAGGAAATGTAGCTATGGTCGGGGTAGTGAGAGAACTTTTGAGAAGCAGACTAGTGGGGTCTGGGCTTGCATAAGGATCTGTCTTGATTATAGAGGTTGGGGAGTTAACACCCAGAGGAGAGGGAGTAGTACTGGCTGGCTTAACTACGGGGAGAGGTTCTATAAGGCTTTTCTTTGCCAAAGTGGCTTCAGGAGAAAGAGATATCTCCAGAGAAGGTGATGTACTTTGGGGAGAAGGGGTATTTTTAGGGGCTGCCAGGGCCACTGGTAGTATAGTAGGATCTTTCTTGGTAGGGAGTCCTGCCTGGGCTGGTGAAACAGGGGCTCCTACAGGAGAAGCAGGTACAGTTTGGAGATCTTTTTGTGTTGGGAACTTTACCAGTACTGAAGCAGGGAGACTTTTGGGGTCCTCAGGGGCTGGCAAAGGAGAGACTGGTATCCCCAGAGTGGTTGTTACTTGAGGAGTAGGAAGCTCTTTGGGAGCCATAGTAAGGGAAGCTGAGTCTGTACTACTTATAAGACCTGATGAAAGTGGAGGAGAGACACAAGTAGCTACCTCAAAGGCAGCAGGTGTTGCAGAAATTGTACAGGGATTACTCATAAGCGGGGTGGTTCCAAAAGAGGAAACAGGAGCTTCTTTCAAGCCTGGACTCCCTGGAGAAGCAGCAGGAATCTGGGCCACCAAAGGCTGATGATGAGTGGCATTAGGAGACCCTTTGAGAATGAGAGAGGCTGCAGAAGATAATGGAGAAGAGGTAGCTACATTTGAGGAGCCAGAGGGGCTGTAGGAGGCTATGCTAGTGATGGTAGAGGGGGCTTTGTCAACAGACAGAGCCAGAGGGGGAGTGGGAGCCTCCACTGGAAAAGCACCCACAGCAGCAGGAACCACCTCATTTCTGGAAGGAAGGGGATGAATTGTAGACCTCTGAGAAGGGTAAGAGGCTCCTATGGAAGAATCATCTCCAGAAATGGTATCCACTGTAGGATCTGACAGAACATTAGGGCCTGTTTGACTTAAAGGTTGGACAGGAGAACCAACAGAACTCTGATGTAAAGGTGCAAGATGAGAGCCCAGAGAAGGGAGGAAAAGTGGGGGGACGTTGGGAGTCATAGGAATAGTCTCGGTTGGAAGAGATAAGGCAGCAGGTGGACTAAGTGGTCCCTTTAGGCTGAGGCTTACAGGGTTCTGTGGAGAAGTCAGAGCTGAGGAAACAGGGATGCCTTTGGCCTGAGAGGAAGTGATGGCTAGGGGAGTGGCAGGTGGTTGAGGACATGAGGCTACTCCAGATTGAACAGAGGCCAAGGGAGTTATAAGATGCGAAGGAACAGCACTGACTATACCTGGAGGGATAGGAGTACCCTTTGGATTAAGGACTACTTCAGAGGGAGCTTGAATAGGAGAGGTCTTTGGTTCTGAGGATGCAGTGGGAGCCGGCGGAGATGTCACTGACCCTGACTCCGCCATAGCAACTGAAGGAGGTGAACTAAGAGGGTTAGGTGGATAACTCTTCTGAACTGAGTGGGGAGCCAAGGCCACCAGAGCCAAGGGAGCTGAACAGGAATGGGCACCTTTCAGAGTTGGAGTTATCATGGGAGAGGCCAGAGCTAAGGCAGCTGGGGAGATGGGAGGCCCTATTATGTTTGGCAGGAAAACTGGGGTGTCAGGGGGGGAAGGGGCAGATCCCAAAGGCAGGGCTATCCCAGAGGATGACTGGGGAAAAGGAGCTTCAAAAGGAGTTGAGGCAATAGTAGAGGGAGAAAGGAATGAGGAAAGCTGGTTAGGGGTTGCCAGAGGGCATTGTTGGGGGGCCAGGGAGCAAGGAGGGGGAAGGGTAGGGTCAGGCTGCCCTGAGGCAGCAGTGACACTCAAAGCTGAAGACACAGGAAGCACAGCTGGAGGAGAAAAGCAAAAGGGGATAAAAAAGGAAAAGGAAGGAAAAAAACAAACGTGAGTTATGCAGCCCAACTTGGTACAACATGCCTCACAGGAAACACTGGAATTTTTAATCTGAGAATGAAAGTCACCACACAGGATTAGACAAAGGTGACAGGCAACAGCAACCTTCCCCAAACATACTTCAGTGGTCAAGTAAGAATACATCCTTCTCCTCATCTCCCACATTTCCCAAGTTCTACCAAAATAAGCAAACTATTTTAGGGCTGAGATAACCCTAAAAGTTTTAGTCTAAGAGCAGCCTATTAGTCTCTAAATGGGGAGCACAGGCCCAGGAGTGGGTTGGGAATAGCATGCTTTCCACCCTTTCCCAGTTGTGCCTTCCCCTTCCCTCCTCAAATGAACCCCAAGTCTTTCTCACAGGCCATAGAATCACTAGAAAAACAGCTGTTCTATCCTGTCCACCCAAGGATCATAAACTGACTGTAACAGATACTGAAAACTGGAACAAGGAAGGTAGTGAGTGGTGATAACAATGGGCAATCAGAGCTGGATAAGAAAAAACAGGTCTTTATATACTCAGGCTTCCACTATGGCCAGGAAAAATCCAACTCTTAGAACAAAGTTTTAGGAAGGGGTGTCTGGCACAGTTCAATTCTTCCTAAAGTTGAAACTCTTCAGAATTTAATACTAAATATTAAATACTAAGTCCTTAGCCTCCCTATGCCTCAGTTTACCTACTCACCCAAAACAAACAAAAAACCAACCATAAATGGGTTGGACTCCATAATCTCTACAGACCTTCCTAGGTAATGTTAGCTCTTCAGACAACAACCTAAGATGAATTAGACTGCCAGGGAGAGAGCTTAGTCACAGGGGTAGGGACTGTATTATGAAACTGTAACCCAACTTGTAAAACCAGACTGTGGTTCTATTTTGGAAGTAGGGAATTGGAGTGGAGACAATACATTGGATCCCCACCTCTCAACCTGGACAAGTATGTCATTCTGCCAAAACAGACCAATATTTGGCACTGGAGAAAAGCTAAGCAAAAGCTTTTCTGAATGATGGAAAAATCCATGCCTGCTCTTCAAGGGATAACACAGGATTAGACCAACAAATGCTCAACACCTAGAAAGGAGTATTAAAAAAAACAAAACACAAAAACAAAAAACCACGGCACCCAAATTCACAATTTACTCAACCAGTAATTCTGAAGTTCTTAGAGTATCCTACTGTACACAAGACAGGTGGCTCAACCAGTTTTTCCTGGAGATTTGGTAGGTCAGTCTTATGATTACAGAGCAAATGCTCTCAAACATATTAATCAGAATTTGAAACTTAGAATGTTTTCCTCTGACTGGACCTCAAGATGTAGTAAGGCCCCAAACCAGTTCCCTGAGCTACTTTTCTCATTCATTCTAGTAATTATTTAATTATAGTTATAGAAAAAATTCCAAGTGTTTATCACTGGTACGCCCTTAATATTATTATTAAACCTACTGTGCAATGTCCAACTATTCAGGAATAAGTTTAACAGCACTGTGTAAGGACTGTTTCAGAAGCAACTGGCGTTAATTTTGAAGCCTGAAACCAGATTATTCTAAATTCATCTGAATTTCAGTGTCCACATTTGTAAAATCAAGTTGTTCAATGAGAATTTCTAAGGTTTTGTTTAGCACTGAAATTACACGATCTTTAGAGACCGATCTTATTTTTTCCCTTCCTTTAAGTCTCTTGTAGTTCAAGGATTTCATATAGCTCATTCCCCAGCTCAGAGGCCCCCTCCCCTTTTCTTTTCTAGCAGCTGTATTAATCCCTTCAGCTGTTAAAATCAGACAGGTGGGGAAGGACAACCTTAATGCTTTCAACTATAAACAACTCTATTTTAATTCCAGAAGGAGACAGATATTACCATTAAGTGACAAGTAGAGTTTTAAAAAATTAATAAATTTACCATAAGAAAAAAAAAGTGAGGACGGAGGTTACAGCCTGAAGATTTCCTTCATTTGGTTCTGTACAACTGACTCAGCAAGAAGATTATCATTCAAAAATTTTTTTCATTACCCCCTATCAAGTTTTATAGAGGTGTCTTTTAACCAGAATTCAAAACTTGGCTTTCCTCTACGTTCTACATCCATTAATTTCAAAGCTGAAGAGCAGTCAAAGGAAGGCTTTATTTCAATCCCGGGTTCCAGACAAGCTGTTGATGCAGGCACTATTCCAGAACACTAGATACATCTCAGTGCCACTACATAAAACAAGTTAACCAACCTAGGAGGGCCCTGGGGCCCAGCAGGACACATTTACCACCAGCACACATCTCATTCTGACATGTGATGTTGGCACAACGCCAAGCTCTGCCATCTAAAACCTTGATGCAACTTGCTGGCTGCAACTTCACAAAAGCTCAGGTCTCCCTGGCCTGCCAGTGTGTCATCCAGTTCCAATAGCTAAGAATCACTGAGCCCCTTCCCCGCTCAGTATTCCTATGTGAGGTGACGGTTCCACAGCAGGGCTCCATTTGAGGCAGTTGCCATAACCTACAAAGCAGGCCAGGGAGCTTTTCATTTTAAACATACTGTTTTTATTCCACTCCCTAATGAAGTCCCTCCAGGACAGCAGTTAATATTGTGGACTCTCCTCCCTGGTGAAGCTACAGCCTGATCTTCTTTAATGAGAGTTAACTCTGAAAGACGGAAGTGTATTCCCATTGTCACTTTATCCATCAAATGGTCTTAGGATCAACCTCACAATCTAATTAAGGGCCAGGGGGCTAGGGGAACCTACCTGTCTCAGCCTGGGGCTGTGGCAACTCCTGCTCTGTAGCAGGGACGGTTTCTGTGGCTTCACCGGGCATTTCTGAGGGAAGGGAATAAAAAGGAGGCCTGAATTGACTGGGATCCGTTCTGCTGCCCAACCCAGAGTCAAGTATTCTTAAAAACTCTGCGGAAGACTGTTAAGAAAAAAAATCATAGAGGTGACTGGGGACAACCCTCCCCAAAGCAGCTGGGAACAGATGAGGAACATGACGTGACCCTCAGATCTCTGATCAAGCGAATCCCCTTCTTCCACCGCTCCTCTTCACTCCGCAAAGCGGTCTCCCTAGTGCCCAGGGGTCGGTTTTGCCCCACACTCCAAATCCCACAAAGGCAGCACTCACCGCAGCGTTCTCAGCCCAAGGGAGAGGATCCCGGTCTGGCTCCCGACCGTGGGAGAGTTCAGACGCTACCGTGAACCACCTCCCCCGCTACATCCACACTGCCTGGGCTGGGGCCTGCAGGAACCCCGTGTGCCGAGTTTCGGGAACCAGGGGGGCAAAGAGGATGACAAGTCCCAACACTCGCTTCTCACAATAAGAACGGTGTGTGTGGGGGTTCCAAGGCTGTGACCCCTTAACCTCCTCTGGGTTCTCGTGAAGCCATTCGCAACAGCAGACGCACTCCGCTTCCGCCCCTAACACCTCAACGGCTCCCATCTCCCCAGCCCTGGACCCCGAGCCCGGCCCACGGCCCTTCTGCCTTGCTTTTGCCAGGACATCAACCGCAGACCCCATTTTGTCGGAGGCCCCAAGGCCACACTTCCCAGAGCCAAGTAGGAAGCCGGTGGCCCCATAAAGCCTCCAACTCTCCTTAGCTCTCAGTCCCCGGGGCGGCTTAGCCCGCAAGAAAGGCGGATGGCTGCGGATAGAAACTAGCGGCGAAGACGGCACTTACTGTACGGGGAACGCGGAACCAAGATGGCGGCAGAAAGAGAGCGAGCGAGAGCGTGACCCACGCCTGTTGCAGACAGAAGCCTGGCGGAGGGGGGCGGGGCCAGGATCCGATTCCGGGTCAGGAGCTGCCGGTAGTCACTTCCTTTAACGAGCGACTCGTCCGGCTGTTCCCAAACGGGGGTGGGGACGAGGTCTAAATAAGGGTAAGAATTCAGAACAGGATGCGCTGGCCTGGCAGGGACTCTCTGCTGGGAGCCACGCAGTCCTTAGATAGCTGCCCCCTTCCTGTCCAAGTCGAAGCTTTTTTGATACCAGAAGGGAGACTGTGATGAGAGAAGCAACCTCTGCCCACCGGTCAGCAAAGTGGCCACAGCGGTATTATTGCGACTTCATGACTTCCCTTTCTCAAATAATGCAGGAAAATATGAGGTATCAATATCGAATACCACAGAAGTTGTATTCACACCATTGAAAGGTAGCAGTGACCTAGGTTAAACCTCAAATATTTTGTTTTTGGAATACACAGTTTAGACCCATGTTGAAATTATTATAAACGTATAGATTCCTCTCCCCGGGAATAAGAACATAGGCACATATACAATTCTCTTTGCCTGCTATTTTGGGCACTTCTTAGATATCCTGAAACTCATCCATTCTAGGGGTCTAGGACCCCACATTAAGAACTCATGCTTTGGGCCGGCCCCGTGGCTTAGTGGTTAAGTGTGTGCGCTCCGCTGCCGGTGCCCCGGGTTCGGATCCCCGGTGCGCACCGACGCACCGCTCCTCTGGCCATGCTGAGGCCGTGTCCCACATGCAGCAACTAGAAGGATGTGCAGCTATGACAGACAACTATCTAGTGGGGATTTGGGGGAAAAATAAATAAATAAAATCTTAAAAAAAAAAAAAAAAAAAAAAGAACTCATGCTTTATACGGCAGGGTTCTTGAAACGTGGAATGTAAAATGAGTGCTTTGTTAATGAAAAGGCTTTGGATCCTAACTCCCATAGCTTCTCTTAGCCCTACAAAAGGACTCAACAAATATATCAGCTAAACCAGCTGACGCTATTTGAGCTAATGGCTTTTAGACAATTGTGGCTGCCTTTGAAGGGAAGCAGTGAACATTTAAGATGCTCTGAAAGCTACTTTAAAATTTCTGAGAGCTTTACCATAGTGAAGTGAGGATTAGGATTAGTGAATTAGGATTAAATGAGATAGTAGAGTTTACCAGGAATGAGAAACTCTGCAATTGTCTTCAGATAGGAGAGGCAATATCATGGAGTGATTAAGAACATGGACTCTGAAGCCCTACTCCTTTGAATCTTAGCTTGGTCACCTAATAGTGACTCAGGCAATTTAATTAACCTATTTTTGCCTCAGTTTCCTCATCTATAAAGTGGGGATAATAGCAGCTACCTCATAGGATTGTTAGGAAGAGTAAATTAGATAATACATGTGCATTACTTAAAAAGTGCCTATTGTTACTATTAACATTGTAGATAGAATGTATACTTAAGTAAATAAGTGATCTGGAAGATTTGTCAGTGCAGTCCATTTACCTTCAGAAGAAAGGGCCAGCAATAACCAATCATCTCCTTACACAAATAAAACTACATTTTGACCATTCCCTTTTCTTTTCCAGCAAGCCCCACTGACTCTTCTAACTCTCTGTTGTTAATGTCTAGCTAAGGAAGGAGGTATTTTCTTTCTTTGGGTTTCTTTATTAACTAGGCAAGTTTGGAGATGGAAACCAGTTCTGTGCCCTTTGTTTCTACAATTCTTATACATGGATGAGTTGGCAAGTCAGAGAACAGGGAAGTTGATGGTCTTTGAGCATGTTTCTGCTATCTTCAGGAACCAAACATTTACTCTTTTACCCGAGCACAATATGCTCTATAATTAATTTTATGGGCTAGTATACCAGCTTCTATCCAACGGCTTTAATATTAAAGCATTAAAATAGTTTAATGCTAGACATATTGGAAGCTTAAAACATCTCTTGTTGAAAGCATAATACCAGTCATTCCACTCTCGTTTTGAGTTCTTAAGATGGACTAAGGAGTCTTTAGTAATTTTGTATTCAGGAGTTTTAATTGACCCACTGTTTTCTGAACCTGAAGACTGAATAATACATAATAAACAGAAGCTCAAATAAAGAGGAATTTCACACAATAGTCTTTAATATTTTTTCTTAAAAAATTAGAAAAGAGAAAGAAATGCAAGGCATTTCAGTATGTTGACTGCATGACAGAGTCTGTTTTATATAAACCAAAAGATAAAAGAAAAAGGCTGTGGCTATAGAGAAAAGGATGTTAAAGGAAATGCGAAGGAAGGAAAATTTTCATAAATCACAGAATCACCAATCTGATAGCTTGCTTCTCAGAAGACAGAATGTAAACACCAGAATAACTGTTTTGTTTAGACTGGTTGTAAAACCAGGCAAAGAAATCTGACACTTCCGAATCTACCACACAAAATCAAATATGGAAAAAATGAAACCTTTAAAATTAAAATATCTGGATATGCACAAAGTCCAAGTGTTTTGACAAGTACAACAGGTTTTATGTTGGTGAAGTTGGTTATTTTTTCTAAGCTGCTTCTTTACAGTGTAGACTAATCTAATTGTTCTCTGAGGGAAGAAGTTAGGAGCTACAATTGCAACAGTTGTAAAAAATACTCAACTAGGTCCTAATATTGTAATCTGGTAACTCATATCTTTTGAATTGATGTTTTGGTAGGTTTAGATGCCCAGTTTAAAATGATTTTTAAAAGATGGGCAGTGAGGTGTGGCCTGACCAATAAAAATACTAGTAAGCAAAATTAGGAAGTGACTGAATACACACTCCAGATATAATTAACTTAAGTGTCTACGACTTAAGGACAAAGCTCTCCTTCACCTAGACTACTCACTCCAGAAATATGCAGGCTATATCCAGTCTTGGGCATATTATTGTTCACTTACCTCTATATATGGCAACTGGTAGAAGTGAGTATTTATATCAGAAATCTTAGAATTATCTTTGTATAATATTAAATTTTACAAATTTATCTGCAATCCACTTATTCCTCCCATTATTGCTCCTTCCAGGAACCTGGACACTCTGCTTTGGTGGTCTCAGGAATCTTTTCAACATAATTATTTCTGGAGAAGAGGAAATTTTGCTTTGAGCATGAAGATGCGTACATGGTTCTGCCATATTTATTAAATGACTCTTGAAGTATTTGATTCTTGGTTGAAAGTAGAAGATATCCACATTAGTTTGAGGGGAGTTATCTTCAGAACTCTTTTTGTAAATCTGAAATAAAATAGATTTTTATCAAAGGACAATAAAGCAAAACAAAACAAAGCCCATTTATTTTCACATTCTGACTTGCTTAATGCTTCCATTAAATTCACATCATGCATAAAGATTGGCTTTCACATTTGCTGAAGCCCACATTATAGGCTGAGCTAGTATAGAACAAGAATACAAAGGACTTAATATCGCCAGTTGGAATGGCAGCTTCAACAAGGCTTTCCAAGTTCAGAGTCATCATTGTTCATTCAGTAAGCACATATTTGAGTGTCTGCTATGAGTAGAGCACTATCTTAGGCACTACTCTTTAACCATCACAGATTTTTTTCAAAAAGGAAGTGGAAAGGGAGTTTGTATGTCTATAACATTGCCAGTTTTCTGTGGTATCTATCAATCTCTTGAATAATATCCACTGCTGATTTTTTCCTTTTGGCTTACACATATGCTCAGGTCTCTCCCATTTAAAGAACTCTTCCTTTGACACTACTTATCCTCTTAGCACCTCCTTCTAGTTCCTATATTCAAGAGGATTTTATCAGTTTCCTACTGCATCTGACCCTTAATAATCTCCTGAAACTTTCCTTTCCCCTGGCTTCTGTGACTCTTTTACTTCTATCTTTCATCTCTCCACTTCCAAATCATTACCAAGTCTCAAGGATGGCTCCAGGATATGCACTTTATGGAGATCTCCAATACTACTGTCCTAATGGTAATAGCCCACTTGGTCTCTTGGGCTCTATTCTATCCCCAGATATATTTTTGCTAGATTTACCTGTCTAGATGAAACTACAAATCATGGCACTCTCTTCCTCAAAAACCTTTAATAGCTTCCCTGTCTCTAATGAATTAAGCCCAAACTCCCAAGACTGGAATTCAAGGCCGCCTATACTCTGGCTTCAGTCTGCTTCTTCATATTTCTATCCTATCACTTCCTGACACATATTTTTCCAGATTAGTTGTACTACTTGATGGCCTCCAGAGTGACCTGATGCTTTCCTGCCTCTATGCCTTTGCTCCTGCTGTTCCTTCAAGAATGAACCATCTGTCTTCTTTTTCCACTTTTGTACTCCTATCTCATCAAATCTCTGCTTGTAGAAATCCTACTCATACCTCAAGTCATGGTATATTGGCACTGGGGATTAGAATTCGTTTAGCAGCTCACTGAAAAGAGTTCCAATACCACTCCTTTCATATGAAATCTCAGGTTCTCTCAATCAGATGAGATCTCTTTCTTAGCATTTTCTTAGCATCTTTATTTTGTACTAGATAGTACTTCCTAAAGGTGGGGAGGCAGGGTATGGAATTCATCTTTGTTTCCCTCATAGTACCTGACATAATAGAAGGAGTTTAATGAATATGTGTTGAATTGAATTAAGGAAGCTCAATTTTCAAAAACACTAAGGATAGTAATATAAATCAATAACTTTTTTTGGGAGGGCAAAGACTAGAGCTTTAGAATTGCTCACTTGCTGGATGCTTTAAACTACCCATACTAAAATCTAAACAGCTAAAAGGGAAAAGTGTATAGTCTTACCACTCTTCTTGAGAAGTTCTCCTTTTCGGGATTTATCCAGGTTTTCAAGAAACTGTTCAAAAACTTTTACATAAGGAGCTAGACTGGTCTTCTTATAATCTAAATTATGAAGACATGCATTATAATTAGTGTTTTGGAGCAAGAATAACATGAAAGTATAACTTTAAGTTTCTTGTAAGAATTCTCTAGAACAGTACTGTCAAATAGAAATATAATGAGAAATGTGTAATTTTAAACATCTAGTAGCCACATTAAAAAGGTGAAATTAATTTTAATAATATATTTTATTTCACCCAGTATATCTAAATTATCATTTCAACATATAATGAAAATTAAAATATTTTACATTCTTTCATACTTTGAAATCTAGTATTTTGTACTTAAAGTATGTTTCCATTTATTTATTTATTTATTTTTAAATATTTATTTATTTATTTCTTTTTCCCCAAAGCCCCACTAGATAGTTGTATTTCATAGTTGCACATCCTTCTAGTTGCTTGCTGTATGTGGGACGCGGCCTCAGCATGGCCGGAGAAGCGGTGTGTCAGTGCGCGCCCGGGATCCGAACCCAGGCCGCCAGCAGTGGAGCGCACGCACTTACCCGCTAAGCCATGGGGCCGGCCCAGTATGTCTCCATTTAGATACTAGATTATCATCAGAAATACCACATGTATATTTACATTTAAATTATAAAATATACAGTTGAAAAAGTAGGCTCATATATCCAAGTTTTCCAAATATACTTAAAAGTTTTCCAATGATTGAATTGAGTGTCAGTTTTTAAATTTAAATTAATTAAAATTAAATTAAAAAAAAATCAGTTTCTTAGTTATACTAGCCACATTTCAAGTGCTTAATAGCCATATGTGGCTACTGTGTTAGACAGTGCTGCTCTAAAACAGCCAAAGCGCATGTACATATCTACTCTAGTAGTCAGGCTTTCTAGTATTAGACTAATATAATCTACTGCTATGTGTTAAGTCGCCTCCAACATTCTTTTCTTTAAAAATTGTGGCTTCAATAAAAAATAGTTTTACCAACAGAGCAAAACATTAAAAATGTGAAGCCAGGGTCATGCCTTCTGAAGACGATTAGAAGTTTATAGTCACAGTGTATTAAGAACAGGTATTCTTTGATTTATAAAATAGTCTAAAAATGTACATAAAATTTTGAATGCAGAATCTTAATCATTCATTTAATTACATAGTCTATAATTAATAGCCAATAGGGGAAGAAAATCTGATTGAGAACAAGATGAGATTTGGATTTTGGGAGTTTGCTATGTCTGTATGGAATAAGAGTCCTCATAGTTCATTGAAGAGAGTAAAAAAAGAAACTATACTTTAAAAGTTTTAGTAAATGTTATCTGACTTACTTGGGACTAGAAAAGGAATCTCAATGAAGGTATTAACGATGAATATCTGAACTGTGGAAGTTATGAAAGTACATTATAATTTTGTCCTATATTTTTATATATGAATTTTCTTATTTATTTATTTTTTGCTGAGAAAGATTTGCCCTGAGCTAACATCCACCACCAATCTTCCTCTTTCCTATGTGAGCTGCTGCCACACCATGACCACTGACAGGTGAGTGGTGTAGGTCTCCGCGCAGGAATCGAACCTGGGCTGCTGAAGCAGAGCACGCTGAACATAACCACTAGGTCACTGGGGCTGGCCCTATATGAATTTTCTTATATTATTTATATAATAATTTATTAAATATTATAATAAATTATTAATAATTTATAAATAATATAAATATAACAATATTATATATAATAAATATAATATAATATATTTATATTTATATAAATATAAATATATACATATATATTATATAATAAAATATTATATAAATAATATTATAAATTATTTATTTATAATTATAATATATATATAATTATAAATAAAAAAAACCAAAAAAAGTTTAGTTTGGGATCAACCACATAGTACTTTGAACCTTGAGTACAAGATTATAAGCTCCTTGGATGTAGGTCTATGTTTGTTTCACCACTGTGGAATATATAATAGACACTTGATAATTATTTAAACAAATATTTACTAACTGCCTATTATACATTAAGTACTATGCTAAATTCTAAAAAAGTATAAGCCATACTACTTGGTCTCAAGTTTTTAAATGAGTTGGAAACACAAATCCTATACGTTATAGAAAACAATATATAATTAAAGGACAGAAGGCATATGGATAGTTATGAGTCCAAAGAATTGACCAATCAATGTTGAGGTGACTATGAACTGGGTCTTAGAAAAAAGATATAACTAGATCGTCAGAGAGGAGAGTGGAGAACATTCCAGGATTTGGGAAGTAGAAGGGAAGGAGCAAATGGTACTAATGTGAAAAAGGACAAAGGCTTAAAATTGCAGAAACGAGAGAGATAATAAGGAACTTATATCTCTCCTATTTCAACTTCCCACCGCCTTTAAAGCATCCCTGACTGATTGATGGCTATTAGCCTATTTATGATTACTTGAAATGATAGGCAGTTCAGTTTATTTTGGAACAGTTATATTTATTAGAAAATTTCTCCTTATAAGGAGCCAAAACTTGCTTCCTTAACATGTCTGAACAAAAGAAAAAGATGTCCATAAAGAGACATTAAATCTAAAAAACTGTATTAAAGTAATATAAGCACTTTGTTTTTTTTTGTTTTTTTGTGAGGAAGATCAGCCCTGAGCTGACATCTGCCATTCCTCCTCTTTTTGCTGAGGAAGACTGGCCCTGAGCTAACATCCAAGCCGATCTTCCTCCACTTTATGTGGGACGCTGCCACAGCGTGGCCTGACAAGCGGTGTGTTGGTACATACCTGGGATCGGAACCAGGGCTGCCAGCAGCAGAGCGCACGCACTTAACCACTACGCCACGGGGCCGGCCCAGTTTTTTTTTTTTTTAAGACTTTATTTATTTATTTATGAGGAAGATGGGCCCTGACCTAACATCTGATGCCAATCCCCCTCTTTTTGCTGAGGAAGACTGGCCCTGGGCTAACATCCGTGCCCATCTTCCTCCACTCTACATGGGATGCTGCCACACCATGGCTTGACAAGCAGTGCATTGGTGCATGCCTGGGATGCAAATCTGCGAACCCCAGGCTGCCGAAGTGGAGTGCACACACTTAACCGCTGCACCAGTGCGCCAGCCTCAGCACTTGGTTAAAAAGAGTAAAATGGTACTAACAGGTTTATAATGAATGGAAAAAAAGAGTAGCCCCCTGCCCTAATTCTGACCTCTCCATCCTCTTGAATGGCAACAACTTTTTTCTTTTCTAGTACCCACTTCTAACAAATGAACACTTCCACTGTTATTTAGAAACCTGAGGCCATTCTTCCTAGGTCTGTGGCTTTTTTGGGGGGAGGGATAGTAGGAAGGGGTCTGAAAGCTCTTCAGATCTTTTCTTAATTCTCAGTGTTCTGAAATTTCAAAATGATGTGCCTTGGTGTAGGTCTGTTTTCATATTATGCTGAGTCCTTTCAATCAAGGGCTCATTTCTGGGATATTTTCCTATATAATTTTGACAATTTTTTCCTCCCTGTTTTATTTGTTCTTTTTCTGAAACTCCCATCGTCAGATATTAGACCTCCTGAAACAGTCCCCTAATTGTCTTTATCTTTTTCCTCCTTAAAACAACCACAACAACAAACTTGTCTTTTTTGTACTACTTTCTGGGAAATCTCAACTTCTCTTTTCCAACCCTTCCACTGAACTTTTTTTTTTTTTCCTGAGGAAAATTTGCCCTGAGCTAACTTCTGACACCAACCTTCCTTATTTTGCTTGAGGAAGACTCCCCCTGAGCTAATATCTGTTGTCAGCCTTCCTCTGTGGATTTTGTATGTGGGTCACTGCCACAGCATGGCCACTGATGAGTGGTGGAGGTCTGCGCTTGGGAACCAAACCTGGGCTGCCAAAGCAGAGCGTGCCAAACTTAACCACTAGGCCATGGAGCTGGCCCCTCCATTGAGTGTTTTCTTCTAATGATTATGTTTTTGATTTTTAAGACCTCTTTCTTGTTCTCTGAGTGTTTCTTTTTCATAGCATTATGATCTTGCTTCATGAATGCACTATCTTCTTTTATTCTCTGAGGATATTAGTTTTTTTAAAAAAGATTTTCTTTGTTCCTTGCATTGTCTCTTTTCCGTGAGTTCTTTTTTCCAGTTTATTCTGATTTTTCATGTTGGAGACTTTTTCAGATATTTTAAACAGAATACTTGTCATCACTCTACAAACATTAATAGTGGAATGTACTATGTTTAGGTATTATGTTAGAGCTGGAATAGATGAAGTGATATTTGAGCTTGGGTTTTGAAAGGAGGCTAGCAACATTTGACCTAAAAAGGTCAATCAGAGATCACTGGTCTGCACTGTCCACTACAGTAGTCACTAGCCACATGTGGCTATTTAAATTAAAATTAAATGAAATTAAAAATCTAGTATCTCACATTTCAAGTGCTTAAAAGCCACATGTGGCTAATGACTGTATATTGGGCAATGCATAACATTTCCATCTTCACAGAAAGTGCTATTGGACTCTATTGCTATTGAGTGTATCTTGGGTATCAGTATAAGATTTGACTTCCATTAGCAGGAAGATTTATAAATTCCCCAGCTCCTTCAAATTCTTGAATATACAGTTCAATTCTAGTTTAGACATATATTTACCATAACACTCATCTGGATACATCAAAAACAAAGAACAAAAGTACTGCATACTTAGTGATTGTTAAATAAATAGCTGTTGAATCTAGGACTGCAAGATTTAAACAACTATCAACACCAATTGACCACTTAATCTTACAATAGAGATCCTGGCATATAGATGTTGCTTAGTAAATATTTGTTGACTCAAATTAGATTCATCAGCACCATTTGGGCAATTGATGAAGAAAGGACAGAAATGATGCTATAACATTATTTGTTACTGAGCTGGCTTCAGGATAAACATCGATCCATTCTGGGCTGAATCCAAGGAGAATTAATTACTGGCGTGACAGAAGGATGTCTATATAAAAAGCTTCTGTTAAAGTGACATTTCAATATATTAACCTACCTCTGGTTCTATGTTTGATATCAGATTCAGCTTCGTTCTCCTCTTTTTCCTCTTCATTAGTGGAAATGGCATCCAATTCATGGCAGATGGAGCTACAAATAATAGAATAAGAGAATTTTAAAGCTGGTTCTTGGTCAACATTACCCAGTGTATGATAGCATGTGAATCCTACAAGATTTTCTGTGAAAAAATTATGTGGCCAACTAAATTTGGGATATTCTAAAAACCATAATCTCTTCTTGGAGTTTTCCACACATATTAGCATATTAAAGACCGGGGAATCTTGCAGTAAAGAACTTTTAATCTGTTTAAGTCAGCATTTCCCAAACTTATTTGAACTTAAAATCTTTTTCTTTCATAACAACAGCTGAAAAACTTGTGTTCTGTGGAACTCACTAGGAAATGCTGCTCTCCCAGGGCATCATCATATAGCCTCAGAACAGCTGGAAGGGATCTAATCCCATCTACTTCTAATTCAGAACAACAATCACAAACTAAAAAGGAGTGATCAGTGATCTGGAACATACCTTATGGTTGGAACAGCAAATGGATCAAACTGATCCACTTTCCGTAAATCAATAGGCACAGAAATGCGACCTGCAAGAACCAAAAGCTATAAACTGATGATTGTGGAATATAAATCATTATAGGCTGTCTCCTACAAGTTATTTTTGGCTAAAATTTTAATCTAAGGCTTAGAAAAAGGGTTATACTTATCTGTTAAAAACAATATTTAGAAATATAAATTAAAAATACTTTCACATTAGCTGTCTTTTATTTCTCTTAAAAAAATATCAAAAAATAGGCGTGAAAGACTTGAACTATTACCTAGTTGCTCTTTACTTTTATTTCTATCCCCATCTTCCTAATATCATCCTGTATTTAAGTACAGAACAACCTCAAATTTAGTGAGTTCTGAAAATGGAATAAAATTGATGGAAATAGTTTAATTATCTTGGCTTATTTGCTGAGGTCAAAATAGACACCTGTATGTTGTGCATCTTTAGAAAGCATTTTGGAAATAAAATAGACAACATCATACTACCCTTTTACAATATCCACACCTGGGATACTACATAAAATTCATCACATCTCAAAAATGAGATAATGACTATAAAGAATATAAGTAAAATAATTAAGGGAACTGGGAGTTGCTGTTTGTAGACAGAGTAAAAAGACTACAGCTACTTAATGGGAAAAGGAAATAATCAAAATGTATATACTTATGAATGAATATAATTATTTACTCAAACCTTGAATATCAGAATAAGAGGATACCCACTGAAGCTTTAGAATTAAGCTTAAAATAAATATTAAGAAATATTAAGCTTATTACCAAAAGAAGCTAAAAACACATAGTTGACAGGTCTGAAAAGGGGCTATATAAATGTACAGGCTATGGAGTCATTGTAGATTATTAAAGGAAACTACGCAATTTGGAAGAACTGAATGTGTGACACTTTTCTAAGCACTTTACATTTCAGATCTTCACAATAACCCATTGAAGTAGGTATTATTATTATCTCCATTTTACAGATGAGAAAACCAAGGCACAGAGAGTAGTTTGCTTAAAATCCCACAATGAGTGGCAGAGTTGGACTGTTGACACTACAAAGGACAACTATATACTTCTTTATTATGTCTCTTGGTTGGATGGAGCAAAGTTTATGCCAATATAGCCACTTTTATATTTATTTTAAAGTCAGTTTCAGTCCATCAAATCTTATGTAAGAGAAATTGAAAGTGGAAAGCTAAAACTATTGAAAAAGAACTGAGGGAGGCAGCATAGTGGAAAAGCACAGAACTTTGAGTTTTAAGAACTGAACTCTGTTCACAATTTGTTTTAAGACTGTGGACGAGTCACTTTAACCTCCTAGACCACTGTTTTCTCTTCTGTACAATGAGAGCTGTTGTTCTATGATTTCTAAGTTCCTCTCCAACTCTAATTCTAACACTGAACCTCAGAAACCCAACCAAGAATTATTTACATGGTGGAAACTCATCTGGTAGCTACTAATCAACTATTAAAAAATAAGTTAATTTAGGTATTAGCTGACAGAAACATTCTTCAGCCTTTAATATGTCAGCCATCATATGTATTCACCCCCAGTGACACGCTTGCTAAAACAAAAAATAACTTTCATTTTTTAGTTTTCCTTCCTGTCTTTACATAGTACCTGTTTTTGGATGAACACTGAAAGGGCTCTTCAGTAAATGATTGATTCCTTTGCTAACATTGATATCCAGCCGTGGAAAACAGTACTGGAGCATGATCTCCCACTCAAGCCAGGGTCCACATTTGTCATTTTTGATGTTATTCTAAAAGCAGATGCAAGTTCAGCATGAGGATCAGTAGGAACTTTTGAGGATTTCTTTAAAAGTATTTAAAAAATGATCTTCAACCATCTTTAACTTACTCAGCAAAACAAATAGAATTTAGTTAAGAATTGCATCATTATATGTGTAATACAGATTTCAATGGAATATACCTGACATCTGCTGCTGGCTTTCTTCAATTCCTCCCAACGCTGAAGTGAATTGTGATGCTTTTGGAAGCTTTGTTGAAGTTCACCATGAATTGGTGATGGGCCATTAAGGAACACGCTCTTTTTTTTTTTCGAGGAAGATTGGCCCTGCTCTGACATCTCTTGCCAATCTTCCTCTTTTTCTTTTCCTCCCCAAAACCCCAGTACATAGTTGTATATCATAGTTGTAGAGTTGGAACTCTTCTATATGGAACGCCGCCTCAGCATGGCTTGCTGAGCAGTGAGTAGGTCTGCGCCCAGGATCCGAACCGGTGAACCCCGGGCTGCTGAAGCAGAATGCGTGAACTTGACCACTATGCCACAGGGCTGGCCCCAGAAACACGCTCATTTAGGGCACATCAGTGAACAACTTATTTTCAGTATGTATTACCACAAGGATATCTAAAGTTTATATAGAAAGTAATTATTGTTTTCTAAAATGCAAATATTAAATTTAAATACATATCCTTAAAAAATTCCCCTGTAAAAATATAGTAGTGATATGACAGAAAGAATGCCAAAATAACTATACACTTTAATGTAAAACCTTTCCCTGGTCTGCACATATTTTGATGAAATGATTCATCATTCTTTAAATAGCCATTAATTCTAGGAGGATCAACTTCCAAAATGTGGAAATTTATTTATGAAATGGCCTCATTTCTTATTGTATTCCAGACTGGAAATACAAAAATGCAGAAATACAGGAGATGTTTTACATAAAAAACATTAAACTTATAAGAATAAGTATATGAGAATATGCAAGCAGAACACACTTATAATATCATAGATCAATATAAGTAGTTCACATAGAAATGGTCTTCAGAAAGGATATTTTCAGGAACAAGGGCTAAAATCTTATCCCAGTTTTCTTTATTTTCAAGAATATCTTGACCCACCAAGGCATATCCTTCGAAGTATTTTTTTATTATGTTTATAGATTTCCTGTAGGAATAACAATAAGTCCCAACAGTATTAGCAACACATATGTCACATAGCTTTTGTTGCTATTTGGGAGGCTAGAGCTTATTTTCACTGAATTTCTAGAACTTAACTAGGTAAAATGGGAATAATACCCCTTCACAGCATTATGAGAGTTAAATGAGACACTCTAAGGGGAAAGAACCTAACATAGTACCTGGCTTAGAACAGACATTCAAGAAATGTTTACTTCTTAAACTCCACAACTTAGAAGGTTAATATCATCATAAATATGTAACAAGGGTAGAAAGGAACCAAAGCAGGACAACGTAATAATGCATCAGTAGAATAAGGGATGCAGCCTACAGATTCTACCTGAATTGCTCGCTTTACCATCTCAACAATTATATAGTGCTTAGCAATCTGCAAAGAGACTTCACATCTACTGTTTCATTTAATCTTTGCCATTTGGAGAGATCTCTCCAAATCTCACTTTCCTCATCTGTAAGTGGAGATACCAGCATGGCTCTCATTTAGTTGTTGTGAAGACCAATGAGAACATTTGTAAAGTACCTATCATGAATACTGCAGCATAAAATAGACACTCAATTAACTCTAGCTATTATTTTTGTAAAATGCTACCCCAGCAGAGAAAATTGATAACAAGGTAATTCTGAAAGCATGTAAAGGTAAATCAGACACAACTTAAACTGCGTGGAGTCTTTTCCAACAGACCTGACAAAAGGATGAACATTTTCACTTAGGTGAACTTTCTTTTTAACATCTTGACCACCCTGAAAAATAAACCATCAAAAAAGAATTTCATGTATGTTATGGAACATAAATTGAAATAATTTAAAAATTTCTTTAGGGGCCTGCCAGGTGGCGCAAGTGGTTAAGTGAGCGTGCTCCACTGCAGCGGCCCGGGGGTCGCCGGTTCGGATCCCCGGCGTGCACCGACGCACCGCTTGGCAAGCCATGCTGTGGCGGCGTCCCATATAAAGTGGAGGAAGATGGGCGTGGATGTTAGCCCAGGGCCAGTCTTCCTCAGCAAAAAAAGAGGAGGATTGGCAGATGTTAGCACAGGGCTGATCTCCTCAAAAAAAAAAAAAAAAAAAATTTCTTTAACGCATTCTAAAGTTACTGATTCTGTCAAAGTATAGAAGCTTGGATGCTATTTTATATAGTCTCAATACCTGTAACTTTCTGGGTTAACTACCTGACATAATTGAACGAGAAAAGTAAACTAATCTTCCTTTTGCTACAAAAGGAGGATACTTACAGCAAAATATGAAATATGTTAAAAAATTTAGCTACTATGATTTTAATTGATCTACTGGTAAGATCATCTACTCTGGAATGTGGATGCTATAAAAGATAGTTTAATTTTGTTACTAAACATACCAGGCTTGGTAATATCTAGCAAACAAAGAGATGTAAATTATCATTAAGAAGATCTTACCTTTACAAGACTCAAATACTCAACTATCCCAGAACGTACTGCGGAGGATAATTTTCTAACTGATTCATCACAGACCCAACAATGAACACCTCTCCTTCCAGAATATACCCAGAGTCGATGCTTAAATCCAAAGTCCTCTGAGGAGGGGAGAAATAATAGGTTTTAAAACAAATCTATAAAATCCTGGTGCTTGCTTACTTCCTCAGCTTCATTTTTTACCTCTTATCCACAGGTAGCACCTTAACTATATTAAATTATTTGTAGTTTCCTGTACCTATCCTGATCTCTCTGCCAAGAATTTCTTCATGCCCCAGCATTTCCATTTCTCTCCCTGACCAACTGCCATTTATCCTTAAAGAACCAGTCTAGGGATATTTAAAGAGTCAATAAATGTAGTGTTTAGAATAGTGCCTGGCACATAATAAGCCCCCTGTGTAAGAGTTAGCTATTATTATTATCATTTTCATCCTTATCATGATCTCTTCTAGGAAGGCTTTTCTGATCCAATCTCTTCCTATTCCTGTATACACCCTGCTGTTCTATATCCCCATAGCACCCTGTGCATAACACAAATGTAATCTTCAATCTTCTTATTTGTCTCCTTAGACTGCATAACCTACTTGAAGTAAGAATTGTTATCTTTCATATTTCTCTCATCTAGGATAGTACCCACACACAGAGTTGCTCAATAGATGACTGCACTGGGAAAAAGCTTACTGGTTTGATCAACAGCTTTATTAGAGTTTCAATTACAACTTTATTCTAATCTTTTATTTTCCTATCATATGCTGCATGGAATCATGTTGGACATTTATGAGATTTGATTATAAAATGGTATTGATGGACTAATATTCACAGGAAAACAGATTCTTGCATTTGACCCCACTCAGACACTGCCAATACTTGCCCTTTAATGCTCGGTCGATGATGCGTATGGCCATGGTCATGAGGGTCCAGCACTTAGAACATATGTCTGCAGAACTGGAGCAGAGTCATCATTACTCACTGTCAGTACTATCACCCACCCTACCAGCCAGGCATGTGGTGCTCACCTACAACATCTCCTCACATCGTCGTAGTCTGTCATGTCAATGTCAAACACCAGTTCTTTTTCCTGAGCCTGGAAAGCTCCCAGCTTCACTGTATTGTGTTGATTGGGCTACAAAGTACAAAACATCAGTTTCTATAAGAGTTTCCCTATATGCTATTTTCTACCCACATGGAAAAAGTGGCCAAAGAGAAGTGAAGAAACCAAATAACTCAAGTTAAAGTTCATTAATTTGGATCCTATATATCCACCAGAATTGATGTAACTTTCATCTACTTAAAACAGGGTTTGATAAATACATATTACCATAAATATTTTTTTCCAGTTCTACTGAGTCATAACTGACATATAACATTGTATAATTAAATATTTGTTGGTCAATAGAAATCATAATAAAGCTTTTTTCAGTTTCTGATAAGGAAAAGTACATACAAATAATTAATGCCCTATTGCAAGGTGTTTTAAGGACCTTTAATTGTTACTGGACATGTGAGTAATGAAAATATATTTTAAATTTTTCAATAATTCAAAAAAGTCTCCCCAATTAATTTGAACTGAGCCTGTAGCCTCCTTTGAGGCTATGGACTACCAGGTAAAGAAGGTGGACTGAATACAGATACTTATTTTGCTCCTTCCAAACCTGCACAAAAATGCTAGTAAAGGTTTTTTTTTTTTTTTCAAGAAAGGCATAAGCCTTTTAAAAAAGAACCAGCGAGGAGACACCACCACCACGGTTTTTATAAGGAGACCCATAAAAGCTGAATCTTGAGCTTTTAGTGAGGAAAGATAAGAAACAACCCAATTTACACCTCAGAAACCCCAAAAGGCCCAGGAACAGGTGACAACGGGTATCTCTGGAGAGAGTGAGTGTGTGTGACGGTAAGCTGAGATTAAAAACTGGAGGAGTGGTTAAAAATCTATTTATGAAGTAGTTAGTTCCCCAGATTCCTACACTTACTCTGCAGAGCTAGGTGACTGCACTTCCATTTCCCTGGCAAAGACACCTGAATTATTGTCTGGAGAACATAAAACAGAGGGTGTCTGGGCTGGGGGTGGGGGCAACAGGCACAGTTGAAGAAGGTTGTATTGTACTGATATTCAGGGGATTATAGACGTTTACATGGGGAATGTTGAGACCCAGACCTCTCCCCCAATTTCTGTACCTTTCCACTGCCACCCCAGGCAGGAGACCAGAAGACTCCTCTCTGAAGAATCTGACCAGCTGTGTCAGACACTGTTACATGCTCTAGGAATAGACCAGTGAACAAAACAAAGATCTCTATGCTAGTGGAGTTTTCATTCTAGCAAAGATCCAGAGAAACTGACATCAGAGCTTCTCCTCAATAAAACAGCCCAGCCAGATCACCCTGTAGTAAAGAAATCTCAGTCATGTGTACAGAGCTTCCAATCAGCTTTTTAATACTCTATTCCTAAATATAAGCAACAAGCAAGAGATTACCAGACATATGAGGAAAGCCTCTAATATGAAAGAGAGGGGAAAAAACAGGAAAAAAAAAAAATTAGAGAAAACAGACTGTGCAACAAAAGAAAACTTAAAAACCTATCACTGATATCCTCAGACATAAGACATATCAATGAAAAAAGCACAGGGACTCTAAAAAGAGTTCTCGGAAATTAAAATATAACACCAGAAATGAAAATCTCTAAGGAAATTTCCCAGAAAGTAGAGCAAAAGGACAAAGGAATAGAAAATAAGAGGGAAAAAAAATAGAATTAGAGGACCAGTCCAAGATGTATAACATCTGATTTTAGGATTTCTAGAGACCAGAGAAAATAGGTAGGAAAAATTATATTAAAAAAAAAAAATTTCCCAGAATTGAAGGATACAAATTCATGCTCATAAGGACCCATATCTAGCACAACATATGAAAAAAGATACACACCAATGCACATCATTGTGAAATTTTAAAACATTAGGGACAGAGGGGAAAGACAGAAAATCCGAAGAGCTTCCAGGTCCAATACAGTGGAACAAGAATCAGAATGGCATTAATCTTCTTAACAGCAACATTGGAAACTAGAAGATAATGTAGCAATGTCTTCAAAATTCTGAGGGAAATTGATTTACAAACTCAACCATTAGTTAAGTATAAAGGTAGAATGAAGACATTTTCCAGATACAGAAGTCAAGGATTGTCTTCCAGTCACCTTTTCTCAGGAAGCTCCTGGAGGATGTGCTCCACCAAAACAAGGGAGTAAACCAAAAAGAGAAGATAGGATCTGGACAACAGGGGATCCAACACAGGAGAGAGGTGAAAGGAAACCAGAGTGATTACAAGATGATATTTATCCATCAGGCTTAGAGAGCAATCAATATAGGTTAGAGGTCAGAAGGCTGCAGGAGAAATTTCTTTAGGATGAAATTGACAAACTACCTGATAGGTCTGAATACATTGGGAGTTTTAAACAATTTGCAAAGAGTTTGGAGTTGCATTAGTGATCTAACCCTAATTTTTTTTTTTTTTTTGTGAGGAGGACCAGCCCTGAGCTAACATCTGTCACCAATCCTCCTCTTTTTTGCTGAGGAAGACTGGCCCTGGGCTAACATCCCTGCCCATCTTCCTCCACTTTATATGGGAAGCTGCCACAGCATGGCTCAACAAGCAGTGCATCAGTGCATGCCCGGGATCCGAACTGGCGAATCCCGGGTCGCTGCAGCAGAGTGCGTGCACTTAACCGCTTGCACCACTGGGCCGGCCCCTGACCCTAATTTTTAATCTAACAAACATATAGGAGCACGTGGGAACGAGAAGGTTGTATGTGTGGTGAGGGTAGCAAGTGAGGTGAAAGAAAGCTAAATCCTCATCTGCCAGAGTGGAAAGTCAACAGATAATGCTTGAAATGGAAAAACGGAAGAAATATAAACATGTTATTTAGAAACAAGGAGGTGAATACTTTATTCAGCTAAAAGAAAGTGGTTGCCTCTGGGGAGCAGAAAATAGGAGGAGTAGTAGGAGACATCTGTTTTTAAAAAAAAAAAAAAGGTCTATAGATGCCTGTCTCGGCCCAATAAAAAAATACTTTTCCTCCTTCAGTGTTAGGGAGATGGAATAGAGTGACAGACACCCTGACCCTTCTATAGAGACTTCAGTTTTAATCTCCACCTGTAAAGAAGAGTAAACTTCTTCAAAATATTTTTCCTGCCTGCCTTTTCTTATCGCTTCTCCTCTTCCTCTAGGATTTAGAGTTAGAAAACCTGGGTTCAGGTCCCAGCTGTATCATTTAGAAATTGTGTGACCTAGGGCAAATTATTTAAGTTCTCCAGGCTTGTTTTCTCCTTTGTAAAAAGAATAGTAAGGATTGATATGAAAAACAAGATATACAACGTATGAAAAAGCCCCATACAAAAGCTATTATCCCATGTGTATATTTCCCCCCGACGTGTATTTTTAAGGAGAGGAAGAAGGGCAACTTTGGTATGTTCCTTCATTCAACAAATATTTACAGTGTACTCTCCCAGGCACTATTCTAGGCACTCAGAATATATCAGTGGCAGCGGGTAGGAGGGGTGGCAGGTTGCAGCGGGCCTCAGTGAGTAAGGACTTGAAGGAGGTGAGGGAATGAACCAAGAAGATATCTGGGGAAATGGATTCTAGGCAATGGAAACTGCTTGAGCAAGGGCCAGTGTGGCAGAGGTGGAATGAGTGAGGGAGAGAGAGGGGCCTTTACTCTGAGTGAAAAGGGGAGCCACTTCGGAGAATGGTCTTGAGCAGAGGAAATTACAGAATCTGACCTGTTTTAAAAGGATCACTCTGGCTGCTGTGTTGAGAATAGACTCTCAAGTTTACAGGAGCAAACTGTTAGGAAGTTTTTACAGTAATTCAGATGAGAGATGATAGTAGTAGCACTGGTAGGATTCTAGATATTATTATGGTAGAGCAAAAGAGATTTTCTAATGGAACGGATACAGGAGTGTGAGAGAAAGAGAGGAATCAAGTGTAACTCCAATGCTGGGAGAGAATGTAATTCTCTTTTAATTCCCTCCCTTAAACCATGCTGACTTCCTCATTTAGTCTTTTGCCAGATACTCAATTTTTTTGTCCTAGTGAGAATACAACCAATTCACTTCCAAATGATTTCCAGTCAGTAATGTAGATTATCACAGAACAAAAAATATTACAATCCACTTGCAAAAACAGTTAAATAAAGCGTAGCTCTTCAACTAGAATAAACTCTAAAAATTTTATCTCAAAACGCTGGGGGCACCAATCCATTCTTGGTTTAAAAAACAAAACAAGATATATAAAAAACCGATTTCTTACTCTGTGGGAATATACTGCGCCTATATCAATCTTGTATGGATTCATTTTCTGCATCTCCTTTTCCAGATCACTCTGGTTGTTGAAGGACTGGTAGCGAATGTAAATATCATCTTTCAATGTGAATGAAAATTCACGGTGTTGAAAGTAATTCTTTACCACTGCAAAATAAATGTATATTTTAAAGTTAATTTGGTACTTTATTCAGCTCAGAGCATTATAACATTAACCAATGAGAAGATATTTTTAATGAGCTCCCTGTGCCCAGCACTGCGCTAAACATGCAAAAAAAAAAAAAAAGACAAGACCTAGTCCCTAATTTGAAGGGGCTTACCATCCCGCATCTGATAGGGAGAAGTAAAAATGAGGAAAAAGATGCAGAAATATTTTAAATATGTAATGCCACCTCTCTCTCCTCGGTGGGCACTAATAAATTCAACTGCGAAGAGTTAAGTACCTCTCCTCTCCCGGGAGATGCCCCTGTCCCTGATGCAGATCATCACGCTCACGCCCCACTGACCCCCCCGGCTCAGGCCCGCGGCAGGTAAATGGGGCGCCGAACGTGAGTCCGACCACGTAGTGGGAGGAGCAGCGGCTCTGCTTTTCACTGTGTGGCCGTAAGCTGGTCATCACAGCCTCTCTCGGCCTATTTACACCTCAGAGGTGGTAGGGAGGGCTCGAGATAACTCCCGAAGGTACCCGGCACACTGCCTGGCGCACAGCAGGCACTTCATATTGTCATTCCCAGGTACCGGTCCGGAACCTCCTCCCCTCTCCTCCCGACCCTCTACCCACCCCGCTCCCCGCCTCCATCACCTCCGCCATAGTTGAGCCAGCGATAGTACTGGGCGTAGGGAAAGAGCCTCCGGTAATAAAGCTTAAGCAGCTCGGGCAGCTCGGCGGGGTCAAACGTCTCCATGGAGCGCGGAACTCAACCCAGGCGAGATTACAGCAAGAATTGGCGGGAACCGTATAGCCTGAGCCTCCGCCACTGCGCAGGCGCGTCGTGGCCGCGACCCGCGTCTGCAGAGGCAGCTGGGAATTGTAGTTCCCACTTGGAGGTTGGCCCGGGCGCTGGAGGCGGTGCCGCGGGTCTCCGCCCACCTGCTCAGATAGTGCTAGGTCCACTGCTCAGGTGGGCAGAAGGAGGCTTCAGCCACTGCAAGAAGAAGATATTCTGCGGAAAGGTGAGTCCTTGAGCGTATTGACTTAGGTTATTAAGGTGAAGTAAAAAAGACGTTTTCTGCTAACTTTATGAATGTTTTATTTTTACTTTATGGATGTTTTATTTTTACTTTATGGATGTTTTATTTTTTATTATTTTATTTTTTTGAGGAAGCTTGGCCCTGTGCTAACATCTGTTGCCAATCTTCCCTTTTTTTTTTTTTTAATTTTTTCCCCCCAAGGCCCCAGTATGTAGTTGTGTATCATAGTTGTAGAGTTGTAGCTCTTCTACATGGGACGCTGCCCGAGCGAGCATGGCTTGATGAGCAGTGAGTAGGTCCACACCCGGGATCCGAACCTGTGAACCCAAGGCCGAGGAAGCCCAGTGCGTGAACTTAACCGCTGCGCTACTGGGCTGGCCCCTGTGGATGTTTTAGAAATAACACATTTAAAATATGTAAACCAGTATCTTTTCAAGAGGGTTTGGAAATTAGTTTTTCATAAAATTATTAGGTCTCATATGTGGAAATAAACGAAGACCAAACAAATGAGAAAAGCAAAGGCTATTTGTTCAGAGCTTGCTGTATAGCAAGGGAGTCAGCCACTGTCACCTGCGTTTTGGCAGAGACTCAAGGGCAAGCAGAGGAGTGGGAAAGCTTTATAGCGGAAACAAGAGAAGGTTTCAGGTGTGCCCTGATTCAAGGCTGTTTACGTGGGGAAGCTGCAGGGGGGCTAACTAGGAGCCGGGCATCCTATGTGGTTGGTTAGAAAACATATTTGGCTTTCTCTAGTTGGTTCTAAGTTGCAAGTGGGGACAAAAATTAGGGAAGCTGTCAGTTGTTAATCCAGTTCTGGCCATTTTGGGCCTATTGTTACAGGGGTTATTGTTTGGCTTCATGGACTATCACTAGAGACAGCAGTCTGACTTCCTACAAGTCTGACTTACAGCAGGCTGGCTTCCTGGGCTGTTTATTATAGCTAAGGGGGTTGGTTTAGAAACTGAGAACGAAGAAGTTAAAATCTTAGAGCAAAACCTTTGAGATAAGCTTTGCTAACTGCAGCTGTGCATACTCAGCATAATCAACTGTTGTTTAACCGGGTCTTTCTGTCCCTCCTTAGTATATGAGTCAGCTGTCTTTTCCAGAAATTTAAGGTCCAGACATCAAGATTCAGCCTCACAAGACCAAACACAGGCTGAAGATGAAAACTAACCAGAAAAGTCCGGTCAGTCAAGGGAAAAGAAATTCAGTCTTCAAGGCCAAATGCAGGCTGGTGGGAAGGTGCCAATCAGCAGGGCCGCATGCTCCCCCCCCCC